AAAATCAATTTTACTTTTATAAGCCAAATATGATTTTTAGGTCAAAATATGTTCAGATTTAACATTAACTCAATTTTTATTTTTTCCAGCCGTTTCCCCCTTTTCTATTGCAAAGGTCCCATATGCTTCTTATTACTTTATTTATTAATTATTATTTAATTGATTGTAAAACTTACAATCTGATATAGATGAAACTATAAATGATAATTTTATAAAAGATATAGTTAATGAATCATAAACAACATTAAAAACTATATTAAAAAGCATAAATATGATAAACATCATTGAAGTATGAAAAATTCGTATAATAGGAGGACTTTCTTGTAAATAAAATTTGGTAGTCCTTTTTGCGAATTAAACTCATATTTGCATCTATATAGAAATAATCACGAAAGGAATAATTTATCATTATTTTTAGTATGTAATACTCTATTCAGATGCAGCAAGATTTCATATTAGTATTATACCCATCAAATAGTATAAGAATGATATTTTAATGAAATTAAACAATGCTTTTGAAAATTTACTAGTTCTTACAGCAGTAAAATCTACAATGCTATTAACAGTAAATTTCACTTTCTAAAATTTAAAGAATCTTCAAGGATCTTATCATAAAGAAAATGCTCAACAAGTTATTTCACAAAGAAATCAATTTGGAGTAGCATTTTCTACTGCTAAAACAGCAATTAATATTGCATTAAAAACTGGAAGTGATAATGAGTTAGTGAAATTATTAAAGGACTTTATATTAACTAAGTAAAATAATTATAATAGTATTGATTTAAAAAATAATATAGACGTAAGGAGTATTGAATTTAATGATAATAATGATAATATTATTCCTCTATAATAACATTTGATTAATCAGATAACAGATCCTAATGTTACTAAAATTAGAGGAACCTTGTGTAAAAAAAAGATTAAAAAATGCTATGGAGATGTCAAAGAGAAGAAATCTAATATGTAAAATTATGAGTCAAATTAATATACAAAATACTGATAATAGAGAGAGAAACTTAAGATTATAACGAAAATGTTTATTGTATGGAAAACCAGAATATTACCAAAAGAAATATCTTAGCAAGGGGAATAACAAAGAAGAAAATTAATATTTTATTAATATATATATATATATTTGTTAGCTTAGTTGAATATGAAATAGTATAAATTAATCCTTTTTTATTTATTATAATAGGAATGTCAATAATTTTTTGCATTTTTGCATTATAAAAAAAATGTATAAGTGGAGGCAGAATTATAGGTTAGTAAATATTTTCTTGTAGTTCATTATATTTTGTATTGAATGTTTTTCTTGTAGTTCATTATATTTTGTATTGAATGTTTATTTGTTATCAAGAAATATAATATGATTTTATGAATGGGAAGGATTAATGATCAAATGTTAAATCAGAGTTAACTAGGTTAGTTCAACTTACAAAAGAAAATCATTGTTCAAGGTTAATTTGAATAATAATATCATACTGTGATTTTGAAAATAACTTTCATAATATATTACGTTAGTCAATTTCCTTTATTATACTCTTTTTAGTCTCATTAATTTTTTATTTATCTATTACGTCTAAGTACTAAGTATTCATATAGTATTATAATATTTCATATTAGATATAGTTTTTCTGATTACTGATTTAAATTTAAGCTTTATTACATAATATAATTATGCATTACTGATTAATACACCTCTAAAACAACATTCTAGAAAATTAAATAATTCAAAAATAGGTAAGTATTCTTTTTCTCTCTTTTTTTTCATTTTTTTTAAATGATACTAATTTTTTCTTTTTCTTTTCTTATAAATATCACTTCAGCTTTAAAAAAAACTTGAAATATCTGTATTTAAAATACAATAGAATTAAAATTATTAGTTTTATTTTTATCTCAGTTTCATTTAATCTTCTTTATCTAAAGACAAAACTAACCTTCTTTTTTCTTTTTCTATTTCTAGAACACTACTTTACCTTAAAATCAGAGTATTTGAAACATTTGTGTCTAAAATACAATAGAATTAAGGTTAGTTTCATTTTTTATCTCAGTTTCATTTTGTTTTTTATCTAAAGACAGAATTAATTTTCTTTTTTCTTTTCCTATTTCTAGAATACTACTTCACCTTGAAATCAGAGTATTTGAAACGTTCGCATTTGAAATATAATGGAGTTAAGGTTAGTTTCATTTTTTATCTTAATTTTTTTTGTTTCTTTATCTAGAGGCAAAACTAATCTTCTTTTTTCTCTTTTCTATTTCTAAAATGATACTTTATCTTTAAATCAAAGCATTTGAAAAGTTTTGCATCTGATACAATGGATTCAAAGGTTAGCAAGGTTAATTTCATTCATTTAGCTTTGTTTTATTTTATTCATCAAAATGGTATTAATCTCCTTTCCTTTTTACTTTAGATCACTTTACAGAGCATAATAATTATATAATAATAATAAAGAAACATTCTGATAAAATTTACGTTAAATAGTCTTTATTTTAGTTTTGTAGTTTAATAAATATGATATGAAAAATGCTATATATATTATATAAATAGTTCATTAATAAATTATATCATGTGATACGATTAATAATTAGTGATTTTTACCTCCAGTGAATTTTCACCTCCAGTGAGCGTTAAAATCATTCATAATAAATTTTAATTTTAATTTTAAAAATTAAATTAAAAAACTTCTTGATAAACTTAAAATTTCTTCTAATAAAATTGATAAAATATATTAAACTTTATTTTTCATTTAATTACTATACAGTTAACTCTTGTTATAATAAACTCTATGTCCTAGATCTCAACTTCGCTATAAGCAGTATTGTTATAGAATATGAACACAGATATGGACTGTCTGTTCCCAGACTGTCTCACGAACATGAACATAAAATTTTTATGTCCAGAACATTTGTACATATTAGCTAATCATCACGTGATAACTGTATTTGTATTGATAATAAAATTTCAAAATTGGCAATCTTAAATTTTAGATAATTCCAAAAGATTTATTATTAGGGAGATATTTTATGGTATATCTTGAAGTGAATAGTCCGGTTTCAAAAAAGGCAAGTTTATTAGAAAAAATTTTTTTTTTTATTATTACAGTCAGACCCCTATATAATCACCAAGTTAGTTTCATTAAATTTAGTGATTGTATAGAGGTGTGACTATATAATAAAACCTTTATACAATCACCTCTATATTATAAATCATGTGAAGTGACTATATAGAGGTTAATAGTTTAATTAGATAGTATAACATATTAAAATAAAGCATATAAAATTTGATTTTATTAAGAATTTGAAAAATTTATACAATTATCCATTTCTCTAATATCTAATTGCTAAAAAAATCAGTTATTGAAGTTTGCTTTCTAGCTTGCAATTCAAGTTGTCGTACTATATTTAGATATTTTTTAAAAATATCTAAATCTTCTGTTTTAAATTCATTTGTTGTTTGTTGTTCAAAAAAAGTTATCCAATTCTGTAAAGATTTAATTGCATCAACGAAAGATACTAGTACTGGTTCATTGAAATCCTCTTCAGAATCATTATTTTCATCATCATTTACCTCCTCTTGAACCAATCTTATGATCTTATCATCATTTAAGAGATCCTTAGTTGGAATTTCTTCTTCTAAATCTTGAAAGAAATCATCAATTGCATTTTTTAATGGAGAAGCATGAGGGTCATCGAATTCATCAATCATTTGATTGATTCTTTCTGTTTTCAAGTCCATTATCTCTTGATGAGCCCGTATTGTATTATCTATATCTTCATTAGCTGAAGAAGGCAATATTTCGGTTTTATTCTAACAATTACGAATTGTTTCTTCAGTTATATCATGTTACACATTTGCCAAGTACTCAATAGCTTCTTTGATATCAATTTTCTCTTTATTGATATCTTTACTTTCTTCAAAAAGTTGCAACATATAACAACAATAATATCGTTTATAGTGACTTTTAAAACTTGCAATAATCTCGGCATCTAAAGGTTGAAGGTGGCTTGTAGTATTTGGTGGTAAAAAGACTACTTCAACATGTGTAAGTTGAAGTTGATGAGTATCCAGTAGAGTACTCCTTGATCTTGAAACTCGATTTCCTATAGAAGTATTAATTCGGTAAGTTTCTGTAGTTTATTTTTAAATTTTTTAAAAAAAAATCAAATTTAACTTACCGTGTCTTCTTGAAGTAAAACCCAAGTAGAGCCTGAAATAGAACCCGAATCTGAAGTAGAACCCAAATCTGAAGTAGAACCTGAGCCCAAAATATTATCATCATCTTGCAAACGGTAATTTAGATTGAAATGTGATGGGGCATTATCAATTAAGAGCAAAATCTTTTTATTTTGTGCTCTAAAATGCCTATTCATATTAAGAAGTATTTCTCCAAATAACCTTGAATTCATCTATGCCTTAGGATTTTCATGGTAGTAAACTGGAAGACGATCTAAATTAACACGTAAGAGAGGTCTTGGGCGTTTTGATTTACTAATCACCCATGGTTTGAGTTTGTCAGTTCCCATAGTATTTGCATCTAAAAGAACAGTAATTCGTGTTTTGTCCTTTTTTTGACCAAGAACTAGTTTAATGAAAAGTGTCTGATTCAGAGACATTCTATAATAAAGACCTGTTTCATCAATATTATATATTTGGTCTAGAGAATATTAGCTTAATAGTTGACAGATCTTAATTCTCTCTTCTGAAAGGGATACTATCGACGCACTTTCCAATTCTCCATGCATGCGATGCCAACGAATATTATTCCTTTTTTTAAATCTATCTAACCAACTGTTGGAAAAAACCAACTCATCTTCTTGTATATTAAATGCATTGGCAAAAAATTTTGTCTTTTCCTTTATCAATAGATCCGTTAAAATGACACCACCCACCGTTACATTTTTAACTCACAAATTCATAGCATTGTCAAGTATTAGAAATTTGACTACTCTATGTCTAAAGATTTCTTTAGAACTTTCGATTTCTATTGCAGCACTCCAATTTTTACTATTTGTTAATATCTTTGTTATAGTACTATGATTGATATTTAAAGTCAGGTTTTTTTCATTAAAATGTTTCGCAATTTCATGATATCTTTTATTACTATTTTTTTTTGCCTATTCACAAATTTCATGTTTAAGACTGACACTTATAGCAAAACATTTCTTAGGTTAGCCAGAAAGTTGTTTGGGTCGGTCAGGAGGCATTTATAAACTCGTTTAATAAAACAAGCTAAATAAAAAGTTGGAAATTATTTTAAAAAAGGGGTGTCTGAGAAAAAAAAAAATCGCACACACATTGTGTGTAAATTTTATCACGTAAAATTTATACATAATAATAAAAAGTACCGCCATGGGAAGAATGCGAAAACTTTCATTAAAATTATCAAAGAATAAAAGCGTTATGTTATTCTATTTTCCTAGTGTTACATTTTTAAGTGAAAGTGTTACATTTTCGTATTACATATTAGCCCTTTTCAATTATAGACCGGATCGATTGATCGCAATCAAACCGATCAATCAAATTTGGTGTTTACCCTGATCAGATCGATATCGATATATGACAACTAATCATTTTTTTCAGTCCAAACGATCTGGTCTAGAATTGAACAGGGCTATTATTTACCGTGAACTGCCAGCCAATTAGATATTTTCAATATAAGCCAATCAAAAATCTGTGATTGTAGAGAGGTTTAATTACTATTAAAAATGGTATGTGGTTTTAGATCATGTGGTGATAGTGACTATAACTAATTTGTGACT